GGCAACACCGTCCGCCTTATATCCTCATCTAAGGTTCTTCCGGGAAGAGGATCCAGAGGCCATGCGGAAATTCGAGACAGCTTGTGCAGAGGCCTTTGGCGAGTTCCAAGATAGAAACGGGAGATTGTCACAGGAGAAATGGCAGGAGATCTCGCAGGCAGCTGAAACCTTATGGTATTCTAGATTATTCGAACGTGAACGACCTGTGGAACAACCCTTCGCTTCCTTTGGCAACCTTGCTGAAAGAGTGCCCTGGAGCATATCCTGATTGTGTATTTTCTGGTTTTATCTTGATTGAAATCCTTGATTTGCATGACATGTCCCAGCTCTGCCGCGCATGTGAGGTGTGGCTCTGTGAGTCAGGCGCGCGATGTCCTTCTGATTTAGATTTCTTTTGGCAACCACCATTTTTGATTCTGAAGCCACCTGAAAGTTACGTCTACAATGTTGTCTTTGGATACCATTGTGCCAGGCTCCGACCACCTTGGATGAGAACGCAGTTGCGCCGTGGTGCCCTCTTGAAGCAACAGCTTCCACGCGCGCAGCCATTTCTGATTCTCCTGAATGCCAAATTCAAAACCGCTGTGGGGACTTCTTGATGCATCGTGACCGTCCTGATTCTCTTTACAAGTACGGCATCGTTTACATGATTGCCTGAGAGGATCACTGGAGAAGCGCTGATGGAGAGCCACGTGACAACGATTAGCTGGACGACAGTTACAGCATCTTGAAGCCCACAACAAACTTCCCATTTCCTGACGTTCTTGGCGACATGCGAAGCAGGCAATACGCCACCAATGCAAACTCGAGGGTTCCATTACAAGACCTTCGCAGGCCTTTCTTTAACTATTTGGTGATTGGAAAAGGGCAGCGTGCAACACACCGTGCCCTGAGAGATCGTCGAGCACCATTACCATCCAGCAGCCGGGAATGCTGCCACTTGAAAGACCTGCACGTGTGGCAGACACTCAGACAAAAAATGGAAATGACCACACGAGCTGAATCGAGCTGAGTCAATCGGTGTCTACGGAAAGAAGAGAAAAAAAAAAAAAGCAAAACGAGGAACGATGAGCGTTCTGCAGGCTACTGACACAGAAAAGGCAACCTGCCGTGCCGCAGGCCGTCCCGCAGCGGAGGAAAAAAATAGACAATGCTTTTGAGTGAACATCGTGCCAGTTGTCCCAGAGAGTTGAGTAGGCCCCTGCTGGTTTTTTTATGTGTGCGTAGTGTCACCAGTTTAGCATTCATACAAAGTGGTTCCACAAACCAGCTTGTTCAAAGGTTGAATACTAGGACCTACTTCAAATGCCTTCAAGTAGCTTCAGGTATTTGACGTGGTTTTGATTTTGTTTGCTGATTTTTATGTGCTTTGATCAAGCACTCTTGCAACTGACACTGGCAGTACCAAACCACTTTTGCTCCCCAGTTCTGTCATTTTTCCCATGGCTTCTCTACTTGTGTATTGAGCGCTCCATTCGCCGAATCTGCAGATCGCCGGCGTTGCGATGAGCCCTTCTTGCAGCCCCTCAGCCAAGCTGATGGAGCGACGTGGTGTTGGGATCCAGCGCAAAGAAGAGGAAGATTAGAAGAAAGAAGAGTAGAAGAGAAAGAGTAAGAAGAAAGAAGATGCAGATGCGCGAAAAGGTAGGAAAGTCGCAAAACACTGTGTTTTTCCAATGATTTGTGGCTCCGGAGGGTCAAAAAGTAGGCTCGCTAAAGCGGCGGGTGCGGAGCCAGCTGGCCAGATGAGTGATGAAAAATTGCACGCCGTTGTGGCGCGAAGCACATTTCGAAGTCAAAATGTACAAAACACCTTAGCCTCGGACCACTTTTGGAAGTTGCGATGTCGAAAAAGTGCACGCCGTTGTGGCGCGAAGCACATTTCCAAGTGAAAATGTACAAGACACACCATGGTCGGACCACTTTTGGCAGTTGAGATGTCGAAAAAGTGCACGCCGTTGTGGCGCGAAGCACATTTCGAAGTGAAAATGTACAAAACACACCATGTACGGACCACTTTTGGAACTTGAGATGTTGAAAAAGTGCACGCTGTTGTGGCGCGAAGCACATTTCCAAGTCAATATGTACAAAACACACCATGTACGGACCATTTTTGGAGGTTCAGATGTCGTTTCGCGTGGCAGGCGCAAGGGATTGTGGACCTTGTCAAAAGTGACCAAAACGTGAGGGTTTTGTAACATTTTCAACTACAACCACCACTACACCACACTACACTCCAATACACTCCAATACACTATACTCAATTGCACGCAATTACACTCAATTACACTACTACATTACACTACACTACACTCCACTTCACTACATTACACTGCACTACACTACCCGTCACTACCCTCCACTACACTTCACTACATTACACTACACTACACTCCACAGCACTACAACTACAACTACACAACTACACTCCACTACACTCCACTACACTAAATTACACTACACTACATTACACTACACTACACTACATTACGCTACACTACACTACACTACATTACACTGAATGACACTGCACCACAGATAGACAGACAGGTAGACAGGTAGACAGATAGACAGATAGACAGATAGACAGATAGACAGATAGACAGATAGACAGATAGACAGATAGATAGATAGATAGATGGCTAGATGGCTAGATGGCTAGACAGATAGATAGATAAATAGATAGATAGATAGATAGATGGACAGACAGACAGACAGACAAATAGATAGAGAGACAGCTAAATAAAATAATAGATAGATAGATTAGATAGATTAGATAGATAGATAGATAGATAGACAGGTAGATAGTTAGATAGATAGATAGTTAGACAGGGAGATAGATAGACAAATAGCTAGAAAACTAGACAGCTAGATAGATAGGTAGATAGATAGATAGGGGGATAGATAGACAGACAGACAGATAGATAGGTAGACAGATAGATCAGTAGGCAGGTAGGTAGATAATCAGAGAAAGATAGAGAATCAGAGAGAAAAAGAGAGAAAGAGAGAGAAAAAGAGGAGACCTCAAGCACCTTTCGGTCCATCAGTGGCTTCGCTCTGCCATCCCTGATTCACAACAACCAACCTCTCCTATAGGTTTCCTAGTTTTGAAACTTCCGCCACCGCCTTGTGCGGTACTACTGGTAGATATACATGTACATACATAGATATGGAGTTTCACATCGTGTTTCTTCTCACTTTTTCCCTTCTCTGACTCTTCCCACCTCTGCTGCTTCATCTGTCCATATTGTCGGAAGTTTGACATCTAAAATTCCCTCGAGAATTATGTATCATATACATAACAACATGTTCACCAAAGATTCTAACTGTGAACTCTTGAATAACCCTGGGAAACAATCACATGAATTCATGTTCACTCCGAGCATGTCATTACCCGCCAACCCTAGTGCCTAGTGATGCAATAAATGTAATTCTTGTTCAGACTAGTGTTGATATTTCATGGTGTTGGTAAACTGCCCAGTGTGTTTAAGGCCCGAAATGTTGGCCGAAATGGCCAGAACCTCACAGGAGCCGTTGTATGATAGCTGATTTGTTGGCCCTATTTGACATGGTGAGTTGTTGACCAATTGGAAAGGTAGCCGCTACATGGATCATGCCCAGGACAATGAAGCAAAAGAAGGTGGCAAAAAATCCAAGAGAAAGAGGACGACCACAGAGCGATCCACCTTGTTCAATCCAAATTGATCAAAACCGTTCAATTAAAGGATTGGACATCTGAAACCGTCTTTGTCGTTGTTTGGATCGAAAATTAACATGCCAAGGGAGTTGCTGAAGTCGCAAGCTATCCTCATAATCTTCATGGTGATGAATATGATGCACGGACCTCCTCAAACTGATAGGTGTATCATGGTGGTCATGGTCACGGTGTATCAGTGAGGAAGGCATTGGTTAAGATCCAGAAATGCTGAGCTGAATCTGGCAGAGTTTCTGCTAGGACCAAGAAAGACTGAAATGCTGAGCTGCTGAGCCCAGCGGATCCAGTTGTGAAGAGCACGGGGAAGCTCCATGAAGCTCCGAAGGTGCAAGTTGCAGCACCATGTGACACTTTGGTTGCTCAAAAATGCCGAAGTAATGCTGAAGTTTTTGGACAGTCTGTTGAATCATGTCCGATTCCATTGTCTTCGGGTAAAAGAAGTGAGAGAAGAAGATTTGACTATATTTGACTTACATTTTCACGATATTGCAGTAAGACCACCTTTCAGGTTCAAAAATTGAGTTGTCCACAAATCTCGCAACCACTCTTTCCACCATGCTGTCACCAGGACCTGTGGCGATTTCGAGGCACATCAACGTGAGCGGTCGCAATTCTGAGGTCCAACTTTTTGGAAAAGCCCGACCCAGATTTGAGTGTGATTTCACGTGATCTCATTCCGGATTTGGGTTGTAATCACACCCAGATCAGAGTCACTATTTAGAGGGCGTTGTTTGATGGTTAATTGACCAGGGTTAGGTTATCAAAAATGACCATTTTTGTGCGAGTATCAATTATCAATAGAAAAGGATGCTATTGAAAGAGGGAGAGAGAGAGAGAGAGAGAGACTACGGAGTGGTTGTCGGGATTTTTTGTGCAGCCACAACATTAGGTCACATGATTGTTCAGACGGAAAACTGCAGCTTTTTTTATCAAGGGGGTGTTTTTATCTGGGTGAAGCAAGAGCATGTTTGAAATGCACCCGTGCAAGACCTGTGCCACGAAGTTGTAGAAGGTTCAAGCAATGCAATGTGGCATTCCTTTTGGATGGTCCTGATGACTTTGCACTGATGACCAGCAGCCTTGCAACGAAGTTTATCGAGCACAAAAGATCCAGGACGATTGAACAGAAACTGCAGCACAGTTTTTCAGCATAGATGTGCTTACTTGGAAAAGAGGAACCTAACTCTTGAGACAAGAGGATGACTGCTTGGATGACTTCCAGGTCTTCCGGGTCGTTTTTATTCTGTTCACATCTTTTCTTATATTTTCGCGTCCACATCCACCAATGGCAGCTCCGGCGTCGGAGAGCTTCGTGCAATTTTCATCGCAACTGCCGAAGGCACGTCAGCGATGTCCTAAACGAGCTTCAAGATGCCCACATCGCTCCAAGATTGATTCAACTGATTCAGTCAGGATATGTCAGGATGAGGTCCCTTCTTTAATCCTGGCCGTCCTGGCCTCACATATCACACATATCAGACATATCAGTTCCCGCTGCAGGAGGATCACTTGCTCCTTCAACAGCTGAGTATCTTGGACCTCCTCAATGCCATCTGCACCGTGATTTTAAAGCAGCGCCCAGAGGTGAGGAGTTGAACGTTTCGAAGGTTTCGAACGTTTCGAACGCTTTGAACTTGTGGTGGACACGAAGGTTTTGTGATCACCCCCGAGGTCACTGTGCGGTGGCATGAGACTGATCGAGACTGATCATTGCAACTGATCATTGCAACTGTTGCATACTGTTTCATACTGTTTCAACTGAAATCGGAGGCTTCCAAGATGGCTCCGCTCCTGCGAGTCGCGCTGGACGGCTTTCTGCATTCCAAGCTCCAGCACAGTGTGTCAGGCCTTGTCCAGCCGTGTTCCAATGTTTGTTTCATGCATATTGAAGGTCCGTTTTGGATTTGGACCATTTGGATCATACTCGAAAGGATCTGGAGATATTTGGAGCATTTTTGATCAGTCCGTTGCAAGTCGCAAAAGCAGCCGAGGCACCTCGCTCCAGCGGCTGCTGACGCCGGAGAAGGCATCTTTCGAGCGGTCGATCTCGGTGGATACCTCGCAGAGTCCCAAGACCCAAGAGGCACTGCTCGTGCTGCTGAGGTAGACCTGGTAGTTTGGTGGTAGACAGTTGGTTCATAAGTTTTGAGAGTACTTGTATGATCACATCTGGGGCCTTTGATTGATAATGATTCGTTATATTTCATGATATTGTTTTATGATCTCGCAATCTTGCATAGGTTTTTGTTCTCCCGGTTATGACCAGGAGAAACTGGTAGATCAACCGCTTGAAGAGTTACCTCAAACGATATCACCTGTAGGAGAGGCGTCTCTCCTATGAGGGCGAGAACCGCTTCTGGCGGCGGCTGGGTGGGTCTCCTGCCGAGAAAGGGAAATTCGGACAAAATCAATGCCCGGTAAAATATGGGTAAATGGCAACAGCTGAGAACGATCTGGAAGTCATTTCTGGATGCTATGGCATGCTATGGCTGTATACTATATTGCAAAATGCAAAGATGTTAGTAATTCTTTTGTAACATGGATTCCCATGGATCTCTGAATTCTGCTTTCACTCCAACATTCACCTTCCGGCCTAGGCAAGGCGAATACGTAGGCGGCTCTCGCTTGCGGCTCCTACGGCAAGACGCGCTTACCAGGCATTTTGATGCATTTTGCGTGGAATTATGCGGAAATCCCGCCAGGGTTTTCTTCTCCGTTAATATCCATTAATCATTATGTCTGCACTATGAACCCCAGCTGAGTCATGAGCTCGAATAAATGGATTGATTCGGCTCTTGAGAACCATTAGGACCGTGGTTTGAAAAACTTATCCACTAAACGTAGGCGCAAAATGAGATGTGTCCTTGAGGCACTGGTGCTGCTTCTTTGTGGATCTGAAGGCAGATCGGCCTTTGGTTGAAATCCTCTTTTGTCAATGGCAACAGCGGCAACAGCCTTCTTTGATGTTATCATTGTCAGATCATGTCAGACCCATCCTTTGTCAACGTCGCTACCCAGTAAAATCCCCATTGCCTTGCCAAGGCGGGGCCAAAGAAAGCACGTCAATACGATAGCAAAAATGCACCCCGCACTGAGCCCCGCGCCCACGAGCAGCCGAAGCACGATGTCGCATGGCCGATGTGAAAGGTGATCTCAAAAGCCATGGCCTTGTGTCAAAGACTGTAGAATATTGTAGGACGTTGTAGGATGCTGATCACATTTTAAAAGTAGAGAAGTAGCCAGTAACGGTTTGATTCATACTGTCCGCTTCAGAAAACTTCAAGTCCCTTTCAGTCCTTTTCTTTGTCTTTGAAGCCGTTCCTTCCGTTCCTTTCTGCCACTTCAGGAAAAGTGCCCTCTCTGTCGCGGTCGAGAAGAAGCCACCGAGGCACTCGAAATTTCAGTTTGGATTGGCGACGAGTGGGTCATTAACCAGCATTGATTTATTCATCACCAATGTAGGTTTCAGCAAGATCCTGAATTGCTGAATTGGTGCCGAACCTCTACGAGATGTTTGGCTGGCTGCATTTGTAGCGACGAAGTTACACATTGCTACATTTTGCAGGTGCTTCGAGTTTGGCCAGATGGACGTCTGGAAGAGCGTGAAGGGCTGCCAGAGGAAGAGGTGATTGGACGTTGCACAGAATTTTCTTTAGGATTCAACTCGAACACCCTGTTTTGTCCACGTGTATCAAGGGTAACATTGTCAATTGAATACTCCATGCAAAATTCAATCCAGAAGTACAAGAAGCTGAAGGCAGAACCTGGCTCATCTTATGAATACATGAAATTGTATCTTTCCCGCAAAAGCTTGGTGAAACAAGCAAATGGAATGAGGCATCCTGTTTTGAGACAACCGTTCCAAGTTTCTCCGATGTTTCTCCATCCTTTCCCTTATGTTCCTTCCATGGCAATGGCAGGAGGACAAGTCAAAGTGGCTGGTCCGTGTCCTTCGCAATCCTTTCCCATATCTCTTGACTCCGCAGGACAAGTGGATGAGCAGCTAGGCCATGTACAGCAGACAAGTGACCAAAAATGGAATCAAAAAGCAGCGACTACCTCAAGTCAAACTGTTTGTTCAGCGGACTTTGCCACTTTATGGTCATTCTCTTTCATGATCTTTCATTATTTCATCATTATTGAATCACAAAATAATGTTCGACGCACCGCTTGAAGTTTGGGGCAATTGGGGTGCCGTCGGAGAGGAGCTCTACGAGAAGCCCTTCCCCTTCGACCGCTCAAAGCACGCGGCCTGCTTTGGAGACAACGACAATCACGCCGCCAACCCGGATGCAGACCATCCCTTATACAGGAGCAAAACGGAGCATCCTTTTTAATATGTTCTGCGTCCGAAAACAGGGCCCTTAAGTCGTTTTAAGGCATTTTAAGTCATTTCAGGTATCAATGGTTTTGCAGTTTTGCATTTGAGTCCTGTGTCAGAGGAGTAATTAAAACCCAGAGGTTTTGGTCTGTCGATTTCAGATCCTGTAAAGTTTCAAAAATTGGCAGGATGGTGGATGGCTTCGGTGCTAGCGAGGTTGTGGTGGAATCGCCCACTCACAATGCACTCATTGGCATTGCCGAGGACTCCCAGGCGCCATGAGACACTAGGTCCATGAGTGCAAAACATTCACAACTTTTCTGAGAACGGACAAGTTGGACTAGTTGGACTTCTTTACGTTGCCACTGTAGGTCTACATGCACATGGTCCCGTGTGATCCCCTGGCCATGAGAGCTGTGTGTTTGCTTTCCAGGTGGTGAATTCTTTGAGGGCCATGGCTGCTCGAGGTGAGTGATCCAAAATGATCCAAAACGATGACTTTGTATCACTTTGGATCACTTTGTGGACGTTTTGTGGACGTTTTGAATCGGTTTGAATCATTTTGGATTGTTGATCTTCCTGCTTACACCTGCAACCATCTAGGCCGCTCCCTGCGGAAGTGTGAGAGAGTTTTGCAACTTATGCCACCTGGCAGTGACTTTTATTGACACCATTTGGCCGAGCAGAAAGGTGGCTGGATGTCTGATTCACAAATCTCAAAGTGGAATCAGCAAAAGGATTTCGACTCAGCTATCTTATTTTCCAGTCATGATCCAACTGAGGTATTTTAAGCAATATGGTACAGAAGCTAGCGGCTCCCTCATCCATCCACACATGCAGAGTCTTGGCAGAGAATTACTTTTCAAGATTCATTCGCCACAAGGTTCTTCAATGTTTGGAGTGCATAGCATGGTGGATGCAGGCTGCTCTTGCTTTTCGTGTTTTTCTTTGGACCGTCTTACATCTTGCTTGACATGATCAAGATTTGCAAGTGACCAAAGTTTTAGTGGGTCTTTGTCTCATTTTTGCTCGCACAGTGTCGCTTAATGTTACAAAGTTGGCAGATCTCAGGATTTGCTCATTGCCCATCGTCAGTCGCAGTTTGGAGCGACGGCTGCAGGACGGAGATGGGACAGCTCTGGGGCCCGAGATAGGAAGAAACTTCAAACCATTTCAAACCTAAGTGGTTGATTTAGCCTAATGGGGACTTCTTCCACAGTGGATAACCAAGTGGATAACCATTTAATGATATGTAAAGCTTCAGGCATCTCAACTTGATAAGAGCGTGCGTTGAGATGGATCAAGGCGAAAAGATTCTACAGAAAGTATGACTGTGATTGAGTGTGGATGTGTACAGGCAAACCATTTGCAACGAGGTGCATCACGATAGCCCAGGTTCAGACAGAGGGTGTCGAAAATGTTTGTGTTCTGGAGGGAATTAGTTCTTTGACAGGACCACAAGGACTTTTTTGACCTCCACAGGTGCACGGGAGTTCAGAAGTTGCTTGGAGGACACGAATGTAAAGCGAATTTCAATGTAAGCAATTGTCCAATGTTCAGCACTTGACCGCTCTTTTTGAATGGGCTCCTGAAGGCACTTCTGCAAATGTGTATCCAGTGTAACCTTTACTGCGGTACAGTTTGAGATTTGAGGCTCTATGTGGATGATGTCACTGGTGGAAATTCCATCAGTGTGGCGCGACTGGTGCACCAAACGGAACACTTCGTTGCTTCTGTGCCCTTTGCACAAGTTCCCAGAGGGTGACCTGGCAACATTTTGCCTGGCTCAAGGGCATTTGAACTTCAGAGACCTTGTTTGGTGCACGTGTGTAATATCTTTTGTCATATCTGGAAACCACCAAGTCTCTATAGCTACGAGACCGGCTTATCAAAAATGGTCATCAACCCAATGAAACAACGAGTCATCTCAATTGCAAGCTGAACAAAGCTGGACATGGCGCAGCATGCACATTCCGCAAGACAATGGAACGTATGCCACTTCGGTTTCTGTGAGACTGTTAGAACATGTAAGAACATGTTAGAACAAAATACGACGAGCACTTGCTGTGGTACTGGCGGAGGCGAATCATCGTGGCCCCAAAGCGGCATTGCCCTCGCTTCGAGGACTGCGGGAGTCAATGCAGTCTGAAGAAGGCCGAACAAAATGCAGAGTATGCAGACTTCAACACGACTCCATTCAGCACCTTGAAGAAACCAAGCAAAGACCTATAAGTATCGTTAAGCCTTCCTATTCTTCCTGTCATGGTGACTCTTGCGAAACACCTCGTCACAATACGTTGGTGTTTATTCAACCAATTCGAATCTATTCCCTCACAGTCAAAGATCATCTTGGATCAAGATGATTTGGAGACATCTTGAGACATGTTGAGATGCCAAGTGTGTCGAGGACTCCACGGAGGATGAGCTCAAAGACTTGGGCCGATTGCTGCGATTACTTCTGGCCAGCCTCTATAGATCGAAGGACAATTCAGTGCACCAATGCACCTCAAGTGGTACAACTGTTTGGCTGGTCATTTATTTCAAACCTATGTTGTGATTTCATTTATTTCGTTTTCGGATTGCCTTGGCAGACTCAAGGTGAATTCAAATTGGATCAAGCTCCTTTTCACACTGATCTTAGGCATTCAGCAAAGCAAAAGAGTTGGATCTGATGATTCATCCTGCAAAGCCTAAGCCACATGAGTGGCTCCTGCAGTTTCCGGGTCCAAATGAATCATTCTGTTCAGCCGTTCAGTCCGTTCAGCCTCTGGTCCTTCAGGATGATCCTTCTTACAATCTGTTTTGGGAGAGCGCACCAACTGCACATGCTTTTGCCGATGATGACGATCCTCGGAATCCTCGGGCAATCAATGCTTATCAGAACACTGGATGGTATGAGCAGGTTGTCGCAAAGATGTATGCTAATATGTTGGCGATTCCTACACATTTTGTTGGGTGCGTTCATGATGTCGACCCCGGCAATACCAGGAATAGTTTCTGCATAGGGGACAAATCCGATTTCTGGTCGGGAGCATGAAGAGGTCGAGTAGAACTGGAAGTTAGCACATTGAGTTGATTGAGAGCTCTGAGAGGCTTGGATTCTGTGCATAAGAGAAGTAGCAAATGGATCCGATCAAAGACCGTTTTGCTCATCCAGGAACGCGAAGAGGTCGAGCGAACCTTCTGTTGGACACTGAACATTCGTGCCGCGAATGCAGAACAGGACAAGCATCATAGAAGGAGGAGGTAAGTATGGTCCAGTATGGTTTGTATTGGTGCCAATTGGTCTATTGAATCAGGTCTCAACAGGACGCCAAAGACTTGGTAGAAGATACATGTCGTCTTGCAGATTTGAATCAGGTCTCAACAGGACGCCAAAGACTTGGTAGAAGATACATGTCGTCTTGCAGATTGATACTTTCCAATACTGCTTGGAAGAACCCTTAATTTTCTGCCGCCAGGGCAAATTCCTGAAAAATCGAGAAAAAACACAAGATGCAGCCCACGAACCCGAATGCAATCACGCAGAACACTTTTGTGAAACAAGTTATTTGAACAGTCTACATTTTTCCCCTGTTACCGTACCAGTGCACTGGAGACTGTGGAATGCAAAGAGGATGGAGTGCAAAGTTTGGAATGTAGAGTGTAAAGTGTGGAGTGTAAAGTGTTGAGTGTGGAGTGTAGAATGTAAATTGTGGAGTGTAAAGTGTGAGGGGTGTAGAGTGTGGAGTGTAAAGTGTAGAGTGTGGAGTGTCGTGTGTAAAGTAAGGAGTGTGGAGTGTGGGGTGTGGAGTATAAAGTGTGGAGTAGAAAGTGTGGAGTGTAAAGTGTGGAGTGTGGAGTGTGACGTGTGGAGTGTTCGATGTAGAGTGTGGAGTGTAAAGTGTAGAGTGTAGAGTGTGTAAAGTGTAGAGTGTAAAGTGTAGAGTGTGGAGTGCGGAGTGTAGAGTGTGGAGTGTAGAGTGTAAAGTGTGGAGTGCGGAGTGTAAAGTGTGGAGTGTGGAGGGTGGAGTGCGGAGTGTAAAGTAAGGAGTGTGGAGTGTCGTGTGTGGAGTGTCGTGTGTGGAGTGTCGTGTGTGGAGTGTGGAGTGTCAAGTGTGGAGTGTATAGTGTGGAGTGTAGAGTGTGAATTATAAAAGTGTAGAGTGTAAAGTGTGGAGTGTAGAGTGTGGAGTGTGGAGTGCAAAGTGTAAATGTTAAGTGTGGAGTGTGGAGTGTAAAGTGTGGAGTGTAAAGTGTAGAGTGTAAAGTGTGAAGAGTAAAGTGTGGAGTGTGGAGTGTAAAGTGTGGACTGTGGATTGCAAAGTGTAGAGTGCGGAGTGTAAAGCATAGAGTGTTGAGTGTAAAGTCTAAAGTGTAAAGTGTGGAGTGTAGAGTGCAGAGTGTTAAGTGTAAAGTGTGGAGTGTAAAGTGTAGAGTGTGGAGTGAGGAGTGAGGAGTGTGGAATGTACATGGTGGAGTGTACAGTGCGGAGTGTAGAGTGTAAAGTGTGGAGTGTAAAGTGTGGAGTGAGGAGTGTAAAGTGTGGAGTGAGGAGTGTAAAGTGTAAAGTGTGGAGTCTGGAGTGTAAAGTGTAAAGCGTAGAGTGTCAAGTGTGAAGTGTGGAGTGTGCAGTATTGAGTGTAGAGTGTAGAGTGCACAGTGTGGAGAGTGAAGTGTGGAGTGTAGAGTGTCGAGTGAACAATGTACATTGTGGATTTCAAAGTGTAGAGTGTGGCGTGTAAAGTGTGGAGTGTAAAGTATGCAGTGTGGGGTGTAGAGTGTGGAGTGTAGAGTACGGAGTGCAAAGTGTCAAGTGGAAAGTGTGGAGTGTAAAGTGTGGAGTGTAAAGCGTAAAGTGTGGAGCGTGAAGTGTAGAGCGTCATCGCATATCACAACTTGCCACGGCTGCCACGGATTTGCACATTGTCAACACTTGACGCAGCCTTAAGATTTACATGCGCAAAAAAACACGCAACGCGGCACGTCTTAATTGCTGCGCCTGCGACGCAAAATGACAATGGATGTCTCCAAAGTGCTACGCTTCTGAAAACAACGCAAAAGTATTGTGCCCGCCACACAAAACGATTTTCGACACTTTTTGCAGACACGTAACCTGTTGCAGAACTTGCCATAGGCACGGCCATACGGCCCTCACACGGACACTTGCGGACGGCTGCGAACGGTTGCGGACGGTTGCCGTCGTAAACGCAACGTCAAGCGAACACACCCTCCGCCCCCAGACCCCCAGAGTGAAACGGGAACCCTTGCTACGCATTCGGGAAACAGGCACACATGGCAAAAAACACAGCAGATCGAAGTGGATCCAAGTAGATTCCAAGTAGGTCCAAGTAGAATCTCGGAAAGAGTGCCATGTTTGGCTCGGCAAGGTGTTCCACAGAAGTCCTCGGGGTTCGGCCTCGCCAGTGGCGTGGATGTCACCAGGCCTGCTCCATCGGATGTTTCAGAGATACAGAGCGGGAAACAGCTGGAAATCGCATCTCCAGCAATATTTACTTTGGGTCGACCTCCAGGGAGTTTCGCATCCATTTTGCAGATTAAAGAAGGAAGTTTTGGGCGATATGGGCTTGTGAGAGCTCCTGGCTCCTGGAATGTCCTGGAATCTCCTTGAATCTCCTTGAATCTCCTGAATGTCCTCAATTGCTCCCGATGCGATTCCTGTAGGCATTTCTGTGCTTCTGAGATGGCCGGCCTTGTGAACTTTCGGGCCAGGCAACTTCCAGAAGAAGAAGCTCGTGAGATGCGAACAGCTCTTTTGCAAGAGGCAAAGAATCGAAGACAAGAACCCCTAATTCCTAAATTGATCCGAAGTGCTTTGCCAAGTGTTTTTACTGTTGTCTCAAACCTTTGACTCCAGCACCAATCTACCAATGCTGCAGGTGGCTTATCCAATTCGAACCTCCGGCTTCGATGCGGAAATGCTGAATTTGGAGTTCCCCAATACGGTGGGACCCTTTGTCTCTTGGGCAGCGAAAGAATTTCAAAAAAAACAAATTGAAATTGTAGCATGAAACACGAAGCATCAGCAACTCTGCCAACTGGATCGAATAATATTTCAACAGTTCAAACTGTCCAAGGCTTGAGTCGGTTCAGTCTGGGGATCAGAAGTAGCAACTCTGCGCTTGAGGTCATGGTGAAGGCCCAACTTTTCCCTCGTGTCTTCAACGCTTTCTTCACTTTGCCACAGGCCAAAAAGCCAGATCCCACCAGTGAAACCAGCAGCTTGGCCACACGTGTGGGGAATGTGGGGAACGCAATTTCAGAAGATGTTCATTCCGACACAAGGATGTGATTCATGTCTCATGCATGTTATGTGTCGGAATGGATCAGAAAGCTCAAGTTTCAGAGGTCATTTTGTAGCCAATTTGCTTCCAAACCGTCATCTGGCTTTATTGATTTTCCATCAAGGGTAGGCCGGTCATTTTTTGTGATGTGCATGACTGGAAAACAATACAATACTTAATACTTGCATTGTAGCAGGTGACAGAGGATTGAAATCAAGGATATCAACGCACTTTGCAGCTGGGAATCCTCTTAGAATCCATGAATTTGCTCCTTAATGCCTGCATATGCTTGAATCGTTGGCCCTTTAGGGCAAGGAAACCTTTTTGATGATAATCTTCGGAATTCTCAAAGCCTTGAGCAGGCTTCATGGTTGGTGTCCAACCTTGTGAGATCGGCTTGGAAGAGGGCGATTTCTTGCACCTTGGACCAGAGTGATGTTTTTTGCAAAGAAGTGGATGTGGAGTTGTTGAAAAGCCGAGCGATGTGAGCATTCAGGTTTTGTCATTGCTCACCGCTGCATCCGACGACGCTCTCAGCGGCCACCCGAGCTGCTGCGGGCATCCCAAAATCTGCGGCGCATTTCGCATGGGCCTATCCTGTGCCCAGGGCAGCATTTGGTTTCATAATAGCCTAATTGACCGAGGCATAGGGATAGAATTGGACAAATAGATTTAAAGATGTTTAGTCCATCGTCTTACGATTCTATGATTCTATGGAGTTTGAGTGCTGTCTTGAGTGGTGTCATGAGTGCTGTCTTTGCAATCAGTTTGATGTTTTCTGATTGCCAGTGCTATGCTTTTCTGCCCAGGTGGATAAGTTAAAGCATCCAGATCTTTGGCCTCTTCCTGGACCCGAGCGCGCTTTCTTGGAATACGGTGGAAACTTGTTCGTCCATTTCGTCGCCTCATTTCTGCATTTTGATACATTTGAATCTACCAAATGCATCGACATGCAATGGCCAACGGGTTTTTACCAGGTTGGGGGAACAGGCTAGAGCTTCCAGGCAATGTGAACTGACAATCAAAGCTGCCATGGCTGCAAGGAAAGGGTTCACAGAGTAGCACTAATGATACTGATGGGTTTTTTCTTTCTTGCAGAGGCAGGCTTTGGTCGCAACTGTAAAACTTTGGGCAATTGCTACTGTTGCGTCCTAAGGATACGTGTACTTCGATCACGATTGCACAGTGGTTGGAACAACATCCATCAGACGCTGGCATGAACGTTTTGCAAGTGGCAAGCCAAAATGCACAGCCAACCCCTGTATTGGTCATGTTCTCCACTACAGTGCAAATTATCGCTACATTCGACTGAATGCTTGTTTGCATGCCTGTTGATTCCGAACTTTCGACTTGATTTTTGGAACCGGTTTGATTTTTTTTTGATAAATGAAGTGCATGAAGTAATGATTGCTGTGCTGAGGCCCTGCCAGCGTTGGAACAGGTCTGCTGTTTGGCGCTTCCATCCCACTGCCGGAGGATGTGGCCGAAGCCCTGTCGCGTCAAGGCCGCTTCCAGGAGGTGACTTTCGAGGCGCTGCTGCAAAAAGGCGCCACCCACTTTGCCTGGTTGAGGCCCAAGGACCGCATGCGTTTCCCTGTTGCAACACGTCATGTAGATTCATAAATGATTCATAAATACATATATATATATAATACATATTGATTATATTATACATATATATTTATATGTATAGTAAATATAGTACAATCCATGTAATGTCTTCCAAAAGAAACACACCAAATGTTAAACGAGGTTCACTGTCAATGGCGCATGCCGACAAGTCTTGGCTGTTTTGGATAGTTTTGGATGTTTCGGCGATTCGGGGAACTTTCCCAGAGGAGTTTGCGAGCTCTGGTTTGCACTGCCCCAGCATTTTGGTTGCACAGAACCCTCAAGTTCTGCACCTAAAATATCGACTGAACTTGACGGTTTGCGACCTTTCCAGTCTGTCTTGACATCATGAGCTTGCAAACTGGAGGAAGAAGTGTATCATCATTTGTGATCGACAAATCTCGCTAGACCCTACTGTGAAGCAAAACATGCCAAATCTTACGCATCAACTGCGCATCCATACACATGCGAAACGGGTTTTGCCCTTCTTCAAAGCGGCAAGTGTGCCATGTCGTGCCGTTGTGCCCTGTCCATCTGAGTTGCCTTCAGGTGGTGCTTTTGCGTATAAGTTCGCAACCGGAGATGAAGCCAGGCGGAATGGAGTTCAACAATGCTTTCATAAAACCGAGGTTTGGTTGTAGATCATTGTAGGTACCAACGGCTTAAGTACACATCAGTTACGATACCTTCCAGTGCATCAGACTCTGGTGCTTGGAGGTATTTTCCTGTCGCCGGCAAACCTTTGATTTCAGACACCCTGCAAGAGCAGTGAGTTTCTATGGGGTCCTTTTTACAGAGACCATCTCTTTCGCAGTGTCCCGTTGCCTTGACAACCGGGACGTTATTGGAGCAAAGCTCCATGGGGTTTGGCAGAGCTGGAGGTCAAGTCTGTTGACCAAAGTGTTTTTTTCAAAATAGTGCCATGGATTGCCATGGGTTGCCTATTGCAGATTCAAACCCGCCACGCAGCAAGCAACAGACTTGATTGGAACCATTGTGGCCTGTCGCCTTTCTCGGACGGCGAGCATCCTTCGCTCGAAAAGGATCCTGGCTGAGTCGTTTTTGGAACCATTGCTGATTTCCTTTTGGTCCTTCGGATGCAGAGACGATTTGGGTGCTTGTGGATCTGTTTCTTACTTGTAAAGGCTTATGATTCTTGATGTTGGCACCAAAGCAATTTTGTGGCTGTGCCAAGTTGCAGCTGTGCATCCTTTTTGCTCGTTCCATCAATTCCATGTGGCAGGTGGGCTGCGACATCATAGTTTTGAAAGCGGAAAAAAATGTTTGCCCCGTGCATATTGCATGTGGATTGAACAGTCTGTGTACGGAAAGTTTAGGTTGTGCTTCACGATCCAAATCCTTTTGTGATGCGAAAGAATCAAGGTGTAGAGCTGCCACCTCCGCCACCTCCGCCTCCACCACCGCCAAGGAACCCGGAACCCACTGAGGCGGAAAGATCAGGATCTTGTGGAGCTGTGACATGCTGTGACATGGTGACGTGGCCGTGGCCGTGAGATGCGCATCACCATGAGGCAGACCTCCGTTGTGCAGACTTCCTGTTGCAGGTGAGATGAGAGACATCGAGTCGAGTCACATGAGTCACACGTTGTGATCACAGCCCACGTGACCACAGTGACGCACACGTTGCAGGTCCGTTTGCACACCAGAGAAGGCTCGGCTCTGCTGAGCTGGAAGTGTTGGACTCTCGATCCATTCCGCGCCGATTGCAGGTTACGAGGAAGCCTTGCGGTATCTTGGCTGCACTCCATACAGAAGCATAAGCTGATCATCGTGGATCTCAAATGTGGCCGTGCAGATTTCAAGTTGAGTCAGTTGGGTCAGTCGGGTCTGAGGTTGGGAGAGGAAATCCTGAGACTTGAGCCAGGGAATCGCCTGGTACTTGAATATCAGGCGCATGTCCTCCCTGTCCCAATTGCATCCAATTGCCCAGCGCACTGGTGATGCAGAGCTGGTGCCAGGAAGTCATCAGAGGTTTCCTCCGCACCTTTGGCGAGTACGTTGAACAGGCCACTGTCAATGGGTCAGAGCCAGGCAGTGGCACAGAAGGGCACAACATTGCACGATTCCATCCAACTGCATCCAGCAGCATCCAACTCATTGAGGTTCAAGCACGGCAGGCAGACCCCAATCGCACTCCTAGCGAGGCGGCGCAGAGCAACTTGAAATGTTCCTACATATTTTTGAGAAAATGCAAAGTTTCTGAAGTGGCTCCGAAGGTCTCCACAGAAGAGTCAGAGGTAGCTGAATCGGAGGCATGGTCCAGCATGGTTTTGTAATCTGATCACGGCAACTCAACCTGAGATTTTCCACAGGATGAGTCGCAGCAGGATGTCGTCAGCGAGGCGTGCCAAGTCATCAGTATGGATCGATTCGTCGTGTCAGTAGCTGCGCGCATATGAGGTCCCAACTGATCCTGCGATATCGCCACGTGAAATTGAATAAAAAATATCCTGCGATCATTTGTTTTTTTCTTTTATTCAAAATCAAGTGTGCTGTTTTTCTTCTTTCCCAACTGCTAGGTGCGGGTCTCTAGATTTTGACAAAGGCGCAACTCCTCCTCCTCGGCCACCTCCTCCTTTCCTTCTCCTTCGTGGGTGGGCACCAATGGACCCAGAGCTCACAGCAAGCAAGCTCCAAATGCAGCTCCAACCTCATCGCAAACTCTAGATGTAGCTGCACACACATGGACCCGAAAACATGCCAGAAAGAATGCCAGAATAGATGC